GCTGATCGATCTCTTGTTGATTTCCAGATACTATGAATCCGCTCATTAGTGTTGATATTGGTTGTGTTACATGCACGATGTCACTGTGCTGTGATGCGATCCCCTTGGTGAGCCGATGGGTGTCTTTTGCAGATTCGTTTAAAGGCGGCAAAATTGTGTAATTAAGCCACACTTGGAGCTTTCCTGACCATTTCTATGCCCACTTCGATGTAAAAGCACGACAATTAGATGAACTGTTCGTGAAACGTCTGAAGCGAGGCGAATGTTTGCTGCTGGCAAAGAAAGTCAGCAAGGTATTCGCTTTTAAGCTCTTTTTTCAATTCCTCTTCCATCACGTTTTCAACTTGGTTCTGGCAATTATAAGGTTTAAAGGCGTGAAAGGGGCCGATGAAGGTTGATGCGATACGGTGTACGGCGTACTAGCGAGACAGTGGTCAATTCGGAATTTGTGGAAGCATCTGGACCAGTAATGCCATCCGTATCAAGAGAAGGTGTGGGAAGGTTGTCCCCCATCATGTTGGAGGAAACGATACATCTAACCTAAGTCACCAGCGACGAGGAATCGAACAACAGGAAGTTCCAAACCTTCTCGGAATATTTTGAGGCGGTGTCTGATGCAATGCCAATGCTGATTAGTCAATAGACCACCATCGTGGGCTGGCGATTGAACCGCCAGTGTTGGAATTCATTCTACATGCGACGGCTTGGAACCCCTGCTATGTCATTCAATGGTCAGTCTGGTAATAGTCATCGGTCCCTGCAGGCCGAAATCGCCGTGATGATGCTCCGTGTTGGGAGCGTATGCCAAACGAGGCAGGACAAAATCTTGGAATATTGGCTGTAAGCGGATTTTCAGACCGAACAGGCAAGCTGAGGGTTGTACCATGCGTGTTGGTGAGATACCTGGTCTCGCGCCACACAGGAATGACATGACGCTGCAGCTGTAATCGAACTGGGTTAGGAGCAGATGCAAGTGCATCCCAGCAGAGGACGTATTACTGCATCAAGCAGACCTCCCTTTGTGGTTCTGCAACCTGCCCAGAGGTGGTGCACAGACATGAAGGCATTGGTCTCGCGGTGAGATAGATTGCCGTAGGGCCATCCGTATTGGCGAAGGTGATGGATATGCGGGATATGTACGACGAAACGGCAGAAACGGGAGTATCCTTTAGGGAGCGGGCGGCGCGGCGTTGCATGGTCGGCAGCCCCCGGTCCTTGCGCAAGCCCCCGGTTCCCTTTGCGTTAGCGTGACTAGGGGTAAGACCAAGTGAACCCCAATCTCGTCCGCTCTCTCGCTTGCTCGCCAGTCCTCGGGATCCCCTGGCGGTACATCATCGGAACTGTCCCTCAAGCCAGTGCAGCCTGCCATGAATTGATTTGAAACCGGAGTGCTGGAGGCAGCGGATAGAAAGATCTGACGGGCGCGATTCATCAACGCTACTTGATCTAAGGTGCGTCGAGAACTGCGCAAGACAAAGGGAGGCGGGGCTGTCTCTGCCCGACCCATGAAGTCGGTACGAAGTATCTGTTTGTACCGGGTACACGAAGACTGTGGGTACCGGCAAGCTCCTAAGAAGAACCCATGAGCCCGGTGGAACTGGGGGGTAGCCCCTCCCGCCAGAATGGACCGCTAAGAACGGAAAAAGAAAGTCTGACAGGCGATTGGGTCTGCCTTAGTCGCCCATGGCCCGACGACGGCGCTGTCAGCACAAGCCTCTGGGACTGGACCGAATCCAGCTGCTGGTGCTGTTGCCGGTGGGGGTGTGGACGGGCGTCGCGTTATCGCTTTGTGTCTCTGGGGCAGCCGACAGGGCGCACATCGGACAAGTTGATCAGTCAAGTGATCATCCGTAGGTGTGGGTGGGTAGTGGGAGAACAAAGGCAGGTTCTTCACCAATATTTGTCCAATTGACGCGATGCGTCGCTCTCTGGAATCGGGGTCGGAAACGCAGTCGCACCATCTTCACGTCTCGTACTGGTAGGAATTGGTTTGCAGGAATGTTTGCACCGCCAGTAGTGGAGGATGCGCGGCTGCTTCGAGTTCGTCATTGTCGACCGTGATCAAACCATGCCCAGAGGATGAGACTCTCTTGGTGAGGGGGAGAAGGCGGCACGGGCGGGTGTTCTGTTTCGCACGCGCGCGCTGCAGGGTATGCTTAAACCCACCGAGGAGCAGTACTTGCCCACGTCTGATCATCGTAGATCTGTTGGAAACCGTACCTTGGTTGGTTAAGAACGCCAGGCCTAGTGCCTGCTGGGCTATGACAGAGTGCTGGGTTGCGTGCAGATGGGATGAATAGGTAGGTAATTTATCCGTAGGCGTGCGCGGTGAGTGGGCTGCAGGTTTGGTGCGCTGGATGGCATCGTGTCGGTCGCCCGTCATGCCAGAGTGAAGGCTTCCCAACATCAGACCGTATTTAGCGGGTCTGCTAGCCGGTAGTTGGCGGACGGATAGTCGGCGTTCCATCAGCTCGGTTCGCGTCAAGAGAATGACGCCGGAGGCGATAGTTTGAACAGTTGCGCCACAATCATAGCGGCGGAACGGGTGCAAGACATGACATTGGCCTGGCATGGCAGGGTAGGTTGACAGGAGTGTCGAATGATTGGCGAATGGCGCGCAGGCACTGGTAGGGTGTTACCGCCGGTACGGAGCAGGAAGCCATTTCTGATGCGGCTGGTCTGCGGGCAGGCTGAGTGATGGGTCAGGACATAGGACTCGAGAATGGGTGGTGAAAGAAGATTGGAAGAACGTGCGCCGATTTGCTCCCGCAGACCAGCGGAATTGAGAGTGTAGCTCGTGAGCCCCCCTGTCACAGCGTGTTGGACCAAGGATGTCGGCTTCGCATTCAAATAACTCGTCGATGGGTCACAGCCGAGCTCCAGATGGGGTAAAATGGCAAGACCCAATCATTGGTGGTACCGGGGCTGCTTCGGTCGACCCAGAATTGGGGCATCGCGGCCGCGTGGTAGTTTTGCGTTTGTCGGAGGGGCAGAGGGGCGGAGTGAGGGAGAAATTGAGGGGCACGAAGAAGCGTCGTCCGGAGTATGGCCTTGAGGTTGATCGAAGTGAGTGTGGAGGGGGATCGGAGGAATGGCGCAGCCCAGTGCCAAAGAAATGGTGTTAGAGGGGAAGAGAATATCGATGCTCACCGATCTAGATGCAATGACGCAGGGCAGGACCTTGAGGTGGGAAAAGCAAGATGAGTAAGGATTCCCTGGAAGGCTGGAACAACCGTTGAGACAGGGACTGGACACAACGGGCGGCGATGAGGATGGCCCGATGAGAGCCCTGGAGGATGATGGAAAAGAAGCTGAGAAAGTTAAAGCGACGTGATCTAATGTGGAGGAGGGGGAGGGGAAGATGGAAGAAGGAGCCTCAGAGGAGGGTGGGAGGGATCTCTCTCACCAAAACGTGTAGGGGGGGGAACGGAAGGAGGGAAGGGGAGAAAAGGGAAAAAAAAAAAAAGGAAAGGGAAACAGGGATCCCAAGGCAAATTTCACCACTGCCCAATCGCCTATTCGCTGAGAAGACGGGGCCAGCTCCGAAGAAGACGGGCAAAGAACCCCGATCGACGCGACGCTCCCGCCTTCACCCAGTCCTATGGGAAGGTACCCTACCTGTCACGCCTGCGCCCGGTATCTGGGCAGGTACCAACGGCTTTGCCTTGTCCTCCTACCTTCCCTTGTTATGCGCCTTAATCGATGAACGGAAGGAGCTCACGATGCGGAAAAGAGTTTCATGATTCGTGGTAGGTGCCTTACCTTAATTGAGGCGATCGCGCTATCCAAGTCGCTTATTTGGAAGGCGAGGATGGCAGCAATGTCTACCAAGGTATGTGCCCAGTGATGCACACCTTACCTGCCTTGCCTTACCTTGCCTTCTATTCACCGTCCCGGCCACGGAATACTCCGACTAGCCATGCGCCCGCGCCTGTTTGATTTGATGATGATCCTCTCCGAGTTCCTGGGATGACCCGAACTTGAAGGTCCTGACGGATAGTAAGGTACTTACGTTATGTATCCGTGTCTCATTCTTCTTTCGTGGATGGTAAGGTAGGCGGGTACTTTAGGCAGGCACGTTGAGCATGCACCGACTCATCCGCCGTGTTCCTTCCCTTCCCGAGATCTGGCAATGGAGAGGAGACCCGCCGCATTCAATTTTCGATTCACAGGCGGGCTCATCATGGAAGGCACCAACCTATCCGAGGACGAAGGAAGGTAAGTAAGAAGGCAACTCCAAGGCTCCTTCTAGTTGGTCGATACCAGAGGAGGGCAAGCACCTCCCCAGGTCTTTCTTGTCCGAGTTTGCCAAGGTACCTGTCCTACTTCTCCTCCGACTCAGTCTACAGATGCCTTGCACATGTGTCGGGGAGAACTAATATCTCGCATCCATCTCCAATGTCAACGCTTTCTCTTCCACTACGACGATATCTGACCGCCGAAACTCATCTCACCTCAGTACTAGATAGCTGTTGCTCGCCTTCTTGATTGGTACTTAACAAGTGTCGTGGATTTGGCCAATTTCTCTCGCACACCAGCACCATGCCCCGCCCCGCCTTCTATCGTGGCTATAAAATCGTCAAAACCTCACAAGTCAGCAGGGCCCGACGGACCAGGCTGATCCTTGCATATCAAAGCCAAGTGCCAAAACCGTTGACGCGCTCTCGGCCGACATGGTGCATGGCTGGCCACAAGCACATGGCATCGCTGTGGGAGTTCCCGCCCGTCCCATCTGCTTCACGTATCACCCCTTCAAGGCCTCAACCCCGCTGTGTATCATGCACCAGGTCACACCGTCACACACTTTACACACTTTAGCGTCGCATCGATTTCATCTGTTCAGACACATGGACAAACAGACAGGGTATCCCGACCGCCTTTAACTTCAACTTTACCAACCACACCAACTGTGACGGAATAGCAGGGGATCACCTGTGGGTTGGCTCGGATGTGATGGGACGGGACACTGGTGGACGCACTCGCTAGCCCCCAAACATCAAATGCCACTGTGCGCAACCACGAGGCACAGCAATATACCCTTTGGGAACATCGAGCCACAGCTATCGCGGCTCGCCGTCTTCTTTATGATTGTCCACAATCGACATATCCACCTCTTCAATTCGTTTCGCGACTTGCCGCCAAGGTTAACAGACCGATCGAGCGAGCAGGACGAGAAGAATGGAAGTGGGCGGACGTTCGTAGCAGCAACTCGGCTAGCAGGTACGCCAGACATGCCGTGCCCGTCCTGTCCAGGTTTCCTACCTGCCCGTCAAAATAACAGATGTTTCGATCTCTAGGAGATCGCTTTGAAGTGCGGAATGATACACAGGCTGGCTGCCATTCCTCGACAATTTATAAAACCATGTGGTGAGTCCGCGCACGCCAGGGCTATATTTGAACATGATGCCAATGCTAATGCCTTACTTAGCCTGCTTGCTTCCTGGTAACGCACTTCATTGGACCATGTTCGACGTGATTCAGAACAAATGGAGATTTCGGGTGAGCAAGACAGTGAGCCCAGTTGGGGAGCTCAGAGCCGTTCCCGTACCAGTGGCGTAAGTGTTTCCAAGAGCCCGTTATCCTGGGAGCCTTTGGGCCATTCCACGTCGGCCGCGCGGTTCCACACACTCTATACCTGCTCCACCAGGACTTGGGGTAGGAACAGCTTTCGCTGTCAGATTACCGCCAGTTCCCGTCCCAGTTCTGGGTCACCGACCAGCCCGGAAGAGCGACTACAAGTGCGGGCACACCAGCCAGGGCAGACAGAGCAGGGGGCTGGCAGGCATCATGGGGGGGCAGGGACATGGCTCCATCCGCACGCGGCCTGGAAGCAACACAGGCCCAGACAAGAGCTCAGGAGAGGGTACCCGGGCGGCATCTCAGTGGTGCAGGATGGGTGCCCTGGCCCATTACCCCCTGGGCTTACTGAGGGGCGAACCTGCTGACCGGCCCATCATCATCCATTGCCATGATATTCGCCGGAAGCTTGCAGAGCAGTGGGCCAAACGGGCATGATCAATCCAAAGAAACAGAGCCAGCCGAGAGCTGAAGACAAGGTCAACGACAAACGCGCATCATCACGACAGCGTCAGCCAACGAGAACAGTTAAAGAAGAGAGTTCTGCCAAGGGCACGGTCTTGATGCGAACATGATCCGCTGATTAATCTGTCGAGTTGTACTGTGCAAGTTCGGCCAACAGCTCGCTGATTATCGTCATTGGTGTGGAGGCATGGCATTTGTCTCCCAAGTAGTCGTCAGCAGCAACAAGTTCTGACAACAGACGACTCTGTCAATCGATCCACCAGGCTGAGAAAAAGAAATTCTCCCCTTTGGACGAAGCACAGTACGAAATTGAAAACGACTATCGATCATTTACGTTGGCAAGTACATTTGCGCCGTTGCACAGTGATCCTTGGACAGGATAAGGACAAGCGACCACTGGTAGACGCAAATTGGGGCCCACCCTTTTGAGAATCTCACAACAGTCGCAAATTGGCTATCTCGGACCAAGGCAAAGGACATTAGAGATTTGCGACATCGCTCGGTCGCTTGACTCTGGAAAATAACCAGAAAGTATTCGATCGCGAATGGCGCGGTATCCTTTTTTCTTTTTCTTTTCTATCTACCTTCCTCCTGGCATCATCGGACTCCAGCTATTCTTCTTTCAGCCTTGGCGTCTTTGGCCAGAAATTGCTTCTTCCGGCTCAGTTTGGGCACCTCGCACTATTGAATCAGACACCACGCCGAGGCCTACTGAAGCTTGCCGTTTCTTTCCCTAGGTAATCATGAGCCATACAAAAGAGTATGATTATCAACAACGCCCCTGACGAGAGGAACAGATCGAGTGCAACGGTTTCTGTTTGGCTCCTACAGCCGAACGCGGGCCATCGCGCGACCTGCCGAAAGATAAGGTAGGCATCAGCCATTCACGGCCGAAGCGACGACGCAGTCTGGCAGAGCGAGTTCAGCACCCTAGACTCGATTTTGCTACAACTCAACAACTTTTTGCTATAGGAATATTGGGCGTCGAACGGTCATCCTAGCCCACCTCATCGCACTGAATCGGAACGCTCCTGGTTGGCTTAATTCTCAGTCATTCGTTGATAAAGGACTCGATGAAATACGCCGTCTGGTATATGTGAAACCCGATTACCGCAGATTTCCCGCCCGGGTTACTGTGGAGTTGATGATGCCGACAAGGGCATGATGGTTTGAGTGGTTTTGGGGTTTCGGGAGCCTGGCATACCACTACGCTCACAGTTCACTTGTCGTAGAGCGCTAGCTGCCATTCGTTTGGCAGAAGAAGCCCAGGATGCATACCACCTTACACATGGATTCCTCAGCGTCTCAGCCCACCTGAGTGGACGGGGGTCCGTTCCGATCGAGACCCGTTGGTTGATCTATTCCGTTGCTGCCCACAAACAAGCATGGAGCGGCGAGGCGCAGGGAGAAGACATCACAGGACCACGAAGCGCTGTGACGCAGGCTCACGCAGCTAGCAGTCAGGCAGGGATTTGTTACCAGTGCTGCTGCTGCTGCTGCTGCTGTGGTGGTGGTACCCGTACGGAGACTCAGTACCTACCCTACTCGACATTGCAGTCCCCTTGTATACGTACCGATCACAATCAGCCACGGATACGTCTGCGCAACAACAGTGTTGTTGGGGTCATCGCGTCTGCATATTCACATCTCAATCAGTCTCTGACTCTCTACGGATGCAGAGTACCATCACCCCAACCGCAACATCGCGACCCGCGTCCTCCAGGCCCATCCCACTGGATCCGGTCTTCCAACGTCAGCTGGGCCGTGCCTTGAGACGCGACTCAACGCGTTCGTATGATCGTACCCGAAATTGGGATGCCCAGTCGACTTTGCATCAAACTGGGTTCTTTTTTATTGCACAAAATGAGAGCTCCCCTGGGTTCCTCCCAGGTTTGCCCTGTGCCTTTGCCTCCGCACCGCCGTTATCATTCGTACACTCTACTGCGACGGAGTTCACGGGCTTCGAGGCAACGAGACCCCGGCTACGGCACCCAGAAGCTCGCCTCCCGTCGGCGTTCCACGGCAAGATCCGCAACACGGAGAAACGCGGGCATGCCAAGGTTTGCCCGTCCGCGCGTGTGCTGCGGTCCTCCCGCGAAACCCGTGAGAGTTGGGCAGCTGTTCTGCTTCATGACTGGACTGACTTAGCCTGACATTTCCGCTCAACCTAGTCTCCTCGACCTTTAAGTACGGCTACGTGATTCCTTAAGCTCGGTCCGGTCATGCTTGCCGTCAGTCTAGCAAAATGCGTGGTCACTGCGGCTCAGTATTGAGCCCACGCTACGTATACAGACTCATTTCACGCCCACTGCAAGTGCAGTAGCTGGTGACAAACAGCCCTCAGCCAGGCTAAGACTGTTGCGTCAGAGGTTTTTACTGCGTGGGCGTACAGAGATCGAGCATCACAAAGACTTAGGCGAGGCGTGAGGAGCGTCCCGCGCTGAGACACCTCCTAGAAATACAAGACACCAGGATCTAATTTGCGTGGTAGGAACAGAGACCCTACCAAGGCAACAGATGGGATGCGTGGGCTGGCATTCCAACCCTCGTGTCCTCTCCACAGAACAACACCCTAGATTCAATGTCGCGCAGAAGATTTCGTCGCACCTTGTCATTTCGACTTAAGACAACCATCGCAGCTCCACAATGTATGTAGTAGGGCAGTTTCTCGTCTTTGAGGGCATGAAACAGGTCATTTGCATTTCATCTGAAGCCAAGATGAATGTACGAATGAGGTACTCTCGGATGATGCTGACTCCCAGTTCCAAGCAGGCAGGCAGGGTAGGGGTGGCGGAGGCACCGCAGGTGTCAGACAATGGCGCACACAGCAGCAGCCAGCGACTGAATTTGGGCAGCTTCTTCGGCCAGGATCGGTATCCGAGGTGCTGCTGTATCCTCGCCTTGAGTAGTCGTGGCTGGTCTTCAAACAGCAAGCCAAAATATCCGCACACACACACTGCTCGCCTTGCCTGCGGCCAGATCTGCGACCGCCGCCCGGGCTGGTGGGTTCAGACACGGGATTAGACGCGGCCAGTCAAGCCAAGGCGCACGTTTTCCCTGTTTGGTGCGGTACTCCACATCTTCCACCACTTTCTTCCACGTCGCCCGCCCACGGACAACACCGGCGAGGGCCGTACCTAAGATACCCTGTACTGCCAGCCGCCAATAGGGCAGACCCAGAACTGGGGGCGCGAGCTACCGAGGGAGGGCTGTACGAGTCAACCTGGACTACAGTTAAGCCAAAGGAAGTAAGGGGCATGCGAATGAACAAATGGAGTTACGACATTCGGAAATGGTAACTCAGTTGATGTTCTCGAGGCAGAGAAATTCGACACTCTGAGCCACTGCGCTGTTTGTTCTGCCTATCTATCAGAGTCCTCGAGGCTACGGCCCCTTGTTCGATATGTGACGAAAGGCGATTCCATCCCACAGCGTGCACCAACAGTGGCTGCCCAGACGAGGCACAGCCTGCTGTACTACTATCAGCGACCTGGACAGGAAAGGGCTTTCAGCAACATAGATACAACGGAACCCGCCTTCGCGACACGGAGTGCCAGTTTGCCATTGCATACGGATACACCAAGAGCGATTTCAATGATACATGCTTGTACGCTGTTTTTCGAGATGGCTCCTTGCAAAATATCTCCCCGTTTTGACCACCCTCTGACCATCTGCCCACCCATGACGGACAGAGCACACGGTCTAACTCGGACAACACCCGAAGTTTTAGGCCCTGGGCGACGGAGCATTACTTCAGAGTGAAGTGACAACAGACTCGCGGCAACGAATTTGAATCACCAGAGCGGCCAATTCGACGGACCCTTACCTTCTTGTGCTAATTGATCTTCCAAGCCACGAAGACCTGGGCCTGCGGTCCCAGTACGAGCCGCCGGCCGCAGGTACGCAGCCGATCCTTTGTTCTGTTACTCTTGATACGTTTTTGCCGGAACCCCAGACTGCGCTCCTTCTTTGTCACGAGGTCATCCGAATTCAACGATCCGGCGCGAGCCGGAGCCATGCTAGGTATGACGAAGGAGGAAGAAGGGGGGCGGGGGGCGGAGCGCCATCCGTCGTTCTCTCGGGTACCCAAGTGATAGCATTGACGGCGAGGGCCCGCAATAACCGTCATGGCTCAGAAGTATTTCCCACCACCGGTGGGCAAACAAAATGGCTATTGGGTTTGGAGAGACGAGGGACTCTTCTTGTTTTTGTGCCACTTTCTCTTTGTCTCACCGTACCTCTCTGTTCAACCATGCCGTACTCTCCTTTATCTCTCCTACCTATGCAACCATCTTCGGTGGTCTTGTATGATTTTGCCAGTGCCTGTTTCGGCTTCTTGGCTGGATATTTATTGAGATGTTGCGACTGGCGAGGGAAAGCTGCAGAGGGCTATTTTGCGAATTTGGCATGGCAGCATACCTACCCCAAAGAAGACAGGTTAAGACAGAAAAGCTGCCCATATCAGGAGTCGCTGAGAATCGATTACGCACTTATCCCAAGACTCGCCTCGTTGTTTGCCATTGCACAGCTTTGGAAGATTTTTTTTTTAGTTTTTTTGGGGGGGGGCTTCGCATGGGCATTGGAGATCTGGGGTGACATGGGACATAACACGCTGAACTGTGTGTTTGGGGCAGAGCACCCATCCCTTGGGACACTACAGCCGGGCTCAATTAGGAACCAAGAAATTTTCTTCTCGGGCCGTTTTGTTTGCCTCGAGCGTCGTAACGTGCCGTCCTACGTCTGGAAAAAGGTGATTATTTCGCCCTCGGTCCTTGGACGGGAAAGACACTGAAACAGATACAGGTGAAGCGAGCAAAGAGCCCAGAGCAGAACAGAAGCCGAGTCTCGAAATCTTGGTCTGGTTGGCTGACGCCGAGGAGGGCCAGCTGGACTTGTTCAAGTCTAGATACCTAGCTGCGCGCACTAGTGTCGAGTTAAGCCGGTGTTGTGTAGCTGACGTTACCTCGATGGGTTGGCTTGTTGTCGGCAGGCGAGAAGGGAGAGGGACAAGGGCCTAATGCCCGGCCGTTTTCTTTCCACCCCGCCGGCGGTACCTTTCGTCTTGTCTTGCCTTGCACCTTGGTATCTTGACTTTCTGACTTTGGTAGGAGGGGTTGTGGTGGTGGTGGTAGTAGTAGTGGTAGTAGTAGTGGTGGCAGCTCAGCTTCTGCCCTCCAATTGTCGGGTCCTTGCGTGGCTTTTTTTCCCTTTCTTCCTCCTCCTCCTCCTCTCCCTTCTTTTTGTCTGCTAACATGTTAATTTCTGCAAATGGGCGGCATGGTGTGGGCTCTTGGAGGCGGTGGATGATGGCAGGGTATCGTATCCGTAACTGCACAGTACGGCGTAGGTGGTGCTGCAAAAAATCCATCATTTTACCGACAATATCTTACCACGGGCTCTCAGTACGTACCTGGTAACGGGGAACTAAAGGCAGGCAGCTCCCCAGCTGGAGGCGGCGCCGGTGTTGGAGCAAGACCACGGCCCCTAGGTAGAAGAAGGGGACCTAAGGGGAAGGGAGGGGATACTCCCGCCCACGATAAAGTCACCCATTGGGCGGTGCGACATGATCCGTCCGCTGTGCCATTCCCGCTCGGGTCCACTTTGCGCCATCCACACTCTGAATGTGTGGTGGGAGCAGGGGGTGTATGTACGGAAACTAGAACCTGGAGCACATGCGCAGTACATACGGCGAGCAAGAGACGGGTGAAAGGGGGGGGCAGAGGGAGGGCGGAAGCAGAGCGATGATGAGAGAGAGAGAGAGAGAAAGAGAGACAGAGAGCGAGAGCCATGGGGAGGTGTGTGTGTGTGTGTGTCTGTCTTGGTACCTGGGTGTATATGTGTGTGTATGTGTGTGTGGTAGGAGTGAGTGACAGCAGATTCCCATCCCATTCCCATCTGGCGCAGCTTGCAGGTATAGGTAGAATGGCGCAAGGGCTTTCGGGTTAGCAAAATAGGAGCAGCAGCAGCGACAAGGTAAGAAATGCAAAGGCACCAGGAGAAGGAGGAGCAAGGAGTAGGACCAGGAACAAGAAGAGAATGTCGTGGTCAATTGCATCTCACTGGTACCAGGTGACCATTTGTCTTGCGCGCCGACAAGTTTTGTTGCAGACGCTCACACTCTTTGATATACCTTACCTTTCTGCTGGCCAAGAGATTGATTCTCTTCGCGGCCGTCTTCATCCTCTCCATGTTCAGGACTGCTACACCCAGGTATGGATACTGTCGTCATCGCCACCATCAGCGGAAGTTCTTCAGACTTCATCTACCTTACCTTACTGCACCCCAAGCCGCATTACCAACCCTTCCATCCAGATCCCATCATCTAACCACCTATCCGCACCCGCACCGCACACTGCCGTCTTCCAAGGTACCCGAGGTTTGGCACCCTGTTTGCCTCGTACCTGAACCTGGGCCCGGGCCCGGCCCCGGGCCTACATCTTCTACACCCTGCGTGTTCTGAGCCCTGCCCGGACAGCGTGCCTTTTGTCTGAGGGTGGTTGCTTCAGGATGATTCCCCTCTCTCCTCTCCAGCTATCGCCGTCACTCAACCGTACTATTCCCTACCAATATCTCATCCCATCTTCGACAGTGCGCTGCCTAACTCCAGTAGAGGCAAACTCCCCGGGTGGAGTGGCCAAGGTTGCATCCAGGAGTAGTATCATGGAACGACTGCCATTTTACCTCCATCTCGCATACAACCGCCCGTGTTTATTGCACACCGCACGCTGGACCAAGACATGAGAACAGGACAAAACAGGAGCACTGCAACTCAATCTCGAATAGACAACAAGCGACCGGCAATAAGGCTGCAACTTTGATGTGGCTCCTCGCGGTCGGTACCTCAAGGTCTTCGTGTCATATGGTCTCCGAGTACCTTACTTACCATCCAAAGTTCCTAAGAGACCCTTTATGGTCCGCAACATCAGTCAAGGAAGAAATCGAGTCGAGTGCCTACAGTCGTCCTTTGACTATCGCCAACCTCACTACCAAACAACACCTTGAGGGGCCAAGAGAGTGAAGGCACACCAAAAAAAAGACCCAAGAAGAAAAGACAAAGAAAAAAATTACTTCGCCCCCCAACACCAGGTTTTGGCCATCTGAGCGACGTTACTCAGATTCGACGCGCATGCCGTCCGATTCCCTGCGCAGCGGCAACGGGACTGTCGAGGAGGTTACGGTGCGGCACGCTTCCTTGCCTTACACTGCCTTTGCCTCACCACACTTCAGCATCCGCCAGGTCGTCTGGCGTATCCGGCGTGTGGGCATTTGAAGAGCATAGGTGCGGGGTCTTTTCGTACCTCGCTATACCGTCTGGCATACGCAGCATTATCTCAATAGTAGGTCAGTGGTTGTGAGATGTGAGATGCGTGTGAGTGAGTATGTGGGAGGAAGCGCAAAAGCAAATAAGAGTAAGCATACGGTCAGAATGAGTGAGTGAGCAAGTGAGGTGAGCGAGATGAGAGAGCAAGAGAGACAGTGTGAGTTTGCAGGTTGTGTGAGTGTCCGCATATCTGCCCTGCCGCTGTCTCTCTCTCTCTGCTTCCGTTACTACACTACTGTTGTGGCCCTGCTGTTGGGTGCCCTTCCGCCATCCTGTTCCCATGCGCTCTTCATCAATCCATCAGGTATTGTTCCTCCACCACACACACACCCCTGGGCCGGGGGAGGGGTGGAAGAAGGGGGAAGGGGAAGGTGAGCCACACCCATCTCACACGCAAAGAGTGGTAAGATACGTACCTGGAAGAGGAGACTCGAGGCTGGCACCCCATGTACACGATACATGCAGTACGTACCTGCCTTACCCTCTTGGTTCCCATCCCAGGGCAGTGTCCCAGTGTCCACACTTCAGCGCACGCCTTTTTTCCCTGGCTTGACTCTTGAGACCTTTGGGACCTTGGGACCTTGGGTGGGATCCATGAGATCCTTGGGACATGGACATGGGTACCTGTACCGCGTCTTCCCTGGCACTTTCGTCCCAGAAAGTGGATGAGAGGGTACCATGCTGCGGTACCTCCCCTTCCCTTTCCCTTTTCCCTCCCTTCCCTTCCCCTTCCCTTCCCCTACCCTTACCCCCCGTACCGACCGCACCGCACCGCTCCATGCCCATCCAAGTCCCAAGGTCCCAAGTTCCCAGAGTACGGATGCTGGTCCCATGGTCCAAGGTCCAAGGTGGTCTACTGTCTACACAGCAAGGTAGCTAGATACGGAGTACGGTACGGTACGGTAGAGGCGGTACGGGGTACTCGTCAAAGGTACGGATACTTCTACCTCACGCAGTAGCGCCTCTTTCTTCTCTTGGTTTCTTACATCTTTGGCACAATCCCTCTCCTGCCACTCCACCGCCAACCTGGGCCTTACCTACCCTTTTTACATTACTTTACCCGCCTTTGCGCCTGCTCTGCCTCGCCTGCCTTACCTCACCTTTCTCTCTTACCTCTCTTTCCGTTTACAAACCTTCCAACCTCACCTCGAGCTGTCTGCGCCTGTCGCTCCTTGTCTTTCTGACTTGGCTCTCTCTGCCCTTTCAACCTGCCGACCGACCGCGCATACAATCCTCATCCATCATTCTATCCCATCGGAACAGCATCGCAAACCCCCTCCTCTCGCTTTTAGGTTCTCTGCCGTCGCAAGGAAGGAGAAACTGAATAGGGAAAGGAAGAAAGAAGCCATTTAAAAAAAAAAGAGGAAGAAGAAGAAGAAGAGGGAAAACAGGGACCGCAATATCGTCCTCGTCACCATCGACACCTTCATCCTAAGAAGCTTCACCGTCTGCACAATCAATTGCTTGCTGCCGTTGCTGCTGCTCCTGCAACTGTTGTCTCTCACCGGCAAAACACAAGTCGCCGACACTCCGGGATTGTCTCCTACTTAGTAGTACCTGACTTACTCGGTTTGATGATCCCAACCTGACCTCACTTTCATTCCTCGACAACAGCGACACTGCTCAAAGACGCATTCACTCACGTTTATTCGGCTATCATCATTGTGAGAGTCGGATCATTGCCAAATCCGCCGCCACTTTTAAAATTAATCATTCCAGCCACGCGGTCCAACATCCGTACCGCCCCGTTGTCGAATCTCACCCTACTTACCTTTGACGCACCGAGCTGCCGCTGCTTACTCTTGCGCCCGCGCTCTCCGACGGCTTATACGACACCCGCTATCTGTACTCGACTCCAAAAATCCCCCCACCACCGCCACCATTCTGTGTGCGCGTGCGCTTCTCGAGTCAACCGACTTGGCTGGTCGCGCCCTCTTCTATCCGCCACAGCCCGCTTGGTCATGATTCTTGCCCTTCCCGTGCTTGGTCGGAATTATTTGATAGCAGGGTTCAACAGATAGGCCAACCTAACGCGCAGGCCATTATCGCATCTCGCCTCAAGGGCCCCTTTCAACCACACCACTAACTACAAACACCACTCCACGACACCCACTGCTCGCCAACACGATAGCATCGCGCGGCGACGAGAGTGCAGGTTCAGTCGCGGCATCCGGGTGGACTCGCCGCAACCAGAGCATGGCAGAGGAGCAAGGACGAGGGCCGCCTTCTACACACCGAGAAGACGAAGGTCGACACCAACTTCCCCCCGTGGGAGCACCCGAAGACCCAAGATACCACGACGACAGACATCATAGACCCAACATGGCCGCACCAGTAACACTTCCCTCCATTCAGGATCCCCACGGCGCCTACGGCCAACCAGCCTACCCGAGGTCCTACCCTGGCGATCCACGGGGTGACCCGCGCGCCGATCCGCGCGCCAGCAATTACAGCGCCTCCCCGAATTCCGTTAACGGCTACCCGCCGCCGCAACCGGGTGGTCATGCGCCGCAACTGCCGCCGTTGCAACCCCCGGGTGACCCCAGATCTCCCACTTATCCTCCCCCGCCGGATGGAAGGGACGACTACTACAGAAATCGCCAGCCTCCGCCGCAGTATGGCGACCCCTACTATCAGGAGTATCACAACCGCCAAGGCCCGCCTCCTCCGGGTCGCTACGCCGACTACCCTCCGCCTGGCCCTGGTGGTCCACGATACGACTACCCACCAGGCGCACCGAGATACGACTACGGTCAAGGAGGCCCTCCCATGCAGCAAGCTGCCCCAAGACAACGAACCTCTATAGCTTGCAGGTACTGCAGAAAGAGAAAGGTACTTCTCCCCCAGTGCGATGCGACAAAGGAACTCTTTGAGACTAATTTGGAATGCTTCAGATTCGGTGCAGCGGCTATCAGAGTGCGCCTGGTGGCAAATGCGTAAACTGCAGCAGGATGAACCAGGAGTGCATATTCCAGCCCGTATCTTCGTCTAGCTCGACTGCATTTGTGCCCGTGTCGGCCATCCAGGGAGGTGTTCCACCGGGAACGCCGCTCTATGGGGCTTACGGGCAGCCTCTACCTCCGGGTTCGCTGCCTCCGCCACCGGGCCCCCAGGGTTATCCCCCTCAGCCTGGCAACGGCGGTTACTACCAACAACCACTCCCTTCTCCAACGGGCGGCTACTCGCCCTACGACGCGCAGCGTGGAAGGCGGCGGCCGAGGGACGATGAAGTTGACGAGCTCCGACCTCCGCCACCCGATCCGAACTCTGCAGACGATCCTCGACGTCGCTCGCCAGCCTCGAGCTCGAATCACAGCAGCCCGGGAGGCTACATGGGCTACTCGCAAGGCGGTCATCCCGGATATGACCCAAGAGCGCCTCCGGCTAGACATAGCCCTGGACAGCCGGCGGCAGTACCTCACCCGCAGACGGGAGACGAGCGAGCCGCGGCAGCGACCCAGCGACAAAGCAATTCCTCCACACCAGCAGCATCATCGAGCTCGGTTATGAGCCTGAATAACTTGGTGGATACGACTCCAAATGACATTGACAGGAACATGCTGGGAAGGCTGAACCGTCCTCCAGTGAGAAAGTGAGGAGATGAGGCGCATGGAGGGGAGAGAGCGTGATCCTTCGTCTTCAGGGGAACCTAATTATTCCGCGGATATCGACCGCCTCAGTCCGACGCAAATAGGAATGGATCTGCTGGCCAGGTACTCTCTTCGCTTTGGAAATTCTCTCAACACGACAACCTTGGAGACTACGCTTCCACCTCGATTATTGCGAGCGATGCCGGCGAAAGCGGCAACGACGACAAGAGATCCATGCGATTCAACTCAGGTTGCATACATTACAAAGTTCATGGGAAACGCATATCGGTCTTTGACAGGCATAGGCAGGCAGGCATGAGCTTCTGTAGCAAGTGAGTTTCCATGATGGAGGGGGGAATTGGCGGGAACGGCTTCCAGGATCAGCCAAAAAAAATAAATTCCACGGTCAGCATCGTCTTGATTTTCGATTTTTTGGTGTTTGCTGGGGGCTGGCTGAGGTTGGGAAATGGTGGGAGGTTTTTTGCTTGAGCATA